CTGTCAATGCTTTTCAATTTTTCATAAAGCATACGGCAGTTATTGCTCGTAGGATACTTTAATATGCCCAAATGTCATCAAGAGCAGTTTTGCATGGGGAAGGAATGTATTTTTCAGACTGTAAAAATGAAACAAAAATATTTAGAGACGAAATTTGGTGATTTGAATTTGAATGAATAGAAGTAAGTTTTCTTCTTTTTATTACTTTTGACATTTAAAGTTATTTATCAATTTCAGCTTTGCTTTTTCTTTAAACAGCCGGACATTGTCAGAATTGTCAGCAAAATAAAATTGAGGTACCACATGGGGAAAATCTTAAAAAAGTAGTTTCGTCATTGAAAAGAGTGAAATTATATTTTGATAATTTTCACTGTGAAATTATCAAATATAATTTTCACGGATAAATCAGTAATCCACTGAAAAGCATAACATAAGATGCTGATAATAATAATTATAATAACACTAGTAATAATAATAATAATAATAATAATAATAATAATAATAATAATAATAATAATGACAATTTTAAACGATCATAATTGATAATTAAGATGTTGCTGAAAAAATGATCTAAAAGTAGGCCAAATTACATAGAAACAATAAGAAATATCTGTACAATTAAATGTGTACATACCACAATACTGGCTGGAGTAATGGCTATCCAACATATCATCCAGTATATCTTTGACCAGGGACCTATCATAGTTTCAATGTCCATACAGAATCTTCGTACCCCTGTAACACATTATTGCAACATTAATATAAATACAATTACTCTAATATCGATCAGTTACGTAAGCCCACGTCTTTGTTAACATCTTATTTCTTTTCAAAATTTCAAGATTTAGTGTCAGGATGTTGGAAAGATATTAAACAGTATATTTTATCCCGTGCCTCAGTGAAACCTCAAAATGAGGCTGAGATTTTTTCATTGCTCTCGAGTGATCTCCCCTTTTCGTCAATGTCAGTAATTGACAAAAAAATACGATAAGGATATAATAGAGTATAATTATATCACCTTTTACTGGAACTTGAGTTAATATTTCATGAATACTTACTTAGATACATGAAAATCAATCTCAAACGGTAATCAAAGTTTGATATTGCTACTTTATACTGTTAAAACACCAAAAATGAAAAAAGGAACCTGTGATACAAACTATGATAACTTTCCAAACTATAATAACTTACCAAACTATAATAACTTACCTAACAGTTATAAGTCACCAAACTAAAATAACTCACCAGAATAAAATAACTCGCCAAACTAAAATAACTTACCATAACAATATGAGATAGCTGTAACCTCAAGGAGGCCAATTAGTAACACACCCCATGCTGCAGCGTAGTAATCTACGAGCGTTACCCAGTATATACCACTCTGATCATATGAAATCATAAGAAAATAGTTCCATTTCTATCACAGGTAGCTTTGATGCCATAATCATAGATATGTCATCATTTTAAGAAGTTATCAAATAAAGCAGATAAATACACCTTTCACAATAACAACGATCAGTTTATTGTCTGTACAAACCAATGTGATAACCAAAACCATTGCCTACAAATTGATATTCCCGCTCATTCTTTAACTGCTTTTCAAGTCATATTATTCTGTTTCAAATTTATGAAATATTCAAAGAATATTTATAACCTTGTTGTAATAAATGGTAGAAATGGTATGCCTCTCGGCCTCTGTTTAAGTTCATAATTATATAACATTAAAACAAACTTTATCTATTTTTCACACAAATATATTTCTATCAATTTTTTTAAAGACACTGTGTTGTTTATTCATTTTTCACCTATTTTTACCAACAAAATTACTATTTCTTTTGAAAAAAAAATTCCTTACATATGCAATATGAAACAAACAATGTACCGGTATGTTTATAAATGTAAGCATAGATATCAAGTGTCTATGTATTAGGCAAAAACAAGTTTCCCTCTGAAGGATGCTGAGGTTTGCGGACGTAGGTGTGCATAAATACAGCTACCAAGAATCTAAATATAAACTTAAGAGAAAGAGAAAGGCAAATAGCAGAGTTTACATTCATGTATACGTGCTCTGAAAAATAAAGTAAGACTGCTGTAAATGCTCGAACCTACCTTGGTAGTGTATGGTAGACCTAACAAGAAGTATACAACACAAATAATAAATATTGAAATCACTTTCTTTTCTCTACATTTTGGCACGATATCTTGTATTCCCGTCAAAATAGCTTCCACCGACGCAAACTAAAATTATAAATGTAATATGTTCAGACAATAAGACCTGCTGGTATATCCGAATTTAAAAGCAAGTCATCCACCAGTATAGAGCATGGTCAGGCTACATGGATATGAAGACTGGCCTGACTCTATACTTGTGGCAAAGGCTGACCACTAACTTTCAGTTCAAGGTTATTAAGGGCTAAAAATTGTCGAAATGTTCAATAAATGACAAAAAAAAAACATGCTGTGAAATAATGTTGTAAATTTTATATAGATTTGGCATAATGCCCATACATTAAGAAGCGGGGCTGTGAATAGCAATTTGATTTTATATGACATAGAGAGATCTATATGTATTTTTCGTTTACTTTGAAAAATATTAATGGTTCTTGCCCTATATAGCATGTGAGAGACAGGAACATAGCAGAAACACGTGGATATTTAATTCACTGAGGAAACTTTTGATTTGAATTTTTCATGAATAAGTCGAGGAGTACAATATTCCGGAGATTTTATTACCTGGCTGTCTAACCCAAGTGTGATGAGCATGAAGAAGAATATAATAGACCAGAACGTAGGTAATGGTAGACTACGAACAGCTTCTGGGTAAATTACAAACGCTAGTCCCGGTCCTGTAAATAAATGTCACGTGTCAAGGACAAACCAATTAAATTTAGTTTTACATGCACTTGTGACGTATCCTTAATTGTACATTCACCGGACTGCTTTGTACTTCATCATAAGATTGTTTTCCTAATTAATAGCAAACTTAGTTACAGAGATCACTCAAATAATCTGAAATATCTCGTTTGCACTATATATGTACTCGAAAATGAAACACCATATGTCATTAAGAGTAATTTATAAACAGCGGATACCTATACAACATGTTATTTGATATGGTCATCTTTACCTTATTTGCTATTCTTACTAAATCATCTGAAAATATATACCTGAGATAAATATTTTAAAGGTACAGTAAGAATAATTGACATAAAATTATTAGTTTATAGAAACAGGAAACGTTTTCCTCGGTGAAACACTATAAAGTTATTTTGATATCTTAGTTTCATGAAGTATCTTACCGTTGTCTGCTACATGATCCACGTCGCCCTTAAGTTGACCCGCCATGTAACCAATGAACGAGAAGATAACAAAGCCACCAAATATGCTAGTCATACAGTTACCAAGGGAGACAATCAGCGAGTCTCTAAAATATAAAACAAATATATTATGTGAAAATGTCCTAAAACACAACAGCAAAAAAAAACCAAAAAAAAAAAAAAAAAAAAAAAACCAACAGCATCATAATCCTCCTCCTTTTTATCGCCGTCATCATCATCATCATCATCATCATCATCAGCAGCAGCAGCAGCAAAAAAAACAATAAAAAGGAAACAATGACAAGTGACATTCATCTAGCTCCATAACTACGGGACCGAATGCAAACTGTTGTATTAGGAATGAGGATTGAATGAACAACTTTAATCTTTTTGAACATTTTGTATGAATTACCAAAACCGAATATGTAAGAATGTAATTCTAGTTACCTTCCCCCCTGGAATTGCAAAGGGAGAATCGTGTCGGGTATTTGACTAAGAAAACACCAAGGTATATAGCCAGTTCTCTTACCTTAATATATTGTTATGGAATCTATTGTAACTTGACAGAGCTATTATTCCACCACCGGCAGGACCCATAGAATAGAAAATTTGTACAGCTGCGGCTTTCCATATGGTTACATCAACTAACTTGGTAAAATCGGGAGTGATGTAATATTTGATGCCTTCGCCAGCATTTTCTAAAGTAACACCCCGAAAAAACAAGATCACAAGGATCACGTAAGGGAATATGGCAGTAAAATAAACAACCTGAAATAAGAAAAAACAATGAAGTAATTAATGTTAGTCATATACATGTATCTTATTTGAAACATGGAAATAATCAATGTTTTAGGTGATAAAACGCGAATAGGGACAAAAACTTTGAATATATTATGATTCAGGGAAATCGTGCTTTTACACCTGAAATTTGTCGAGCTCGTAAAGCTTGACAATAAAACACCAATATCAAAAGTTTTTAATAGATAAATAAATATTTGATGGAGGTCTTCAATAGATGCAGAAATGTGCATTAGTGTTACTTAACTTTAGATAGGGTGTCCAACAAACAGCACAAAATACATGTTCACCCATTTATAAATGTTTCAGATATTCATCAATCATTAACCAATAAAAATCCTTGTGGACCGATTCATTAGTTAATCAATCATTTAACTAACAACTAAAGAACTAGTGCACAGATTTATAACTATTTTTTAAATAAATCAATTATTTTGCATATTAACCTTTCCCGCTGATTTAATACCCTTGATCAGACATAGAAAAACAAGCGTCCACGAGAACAGCAGACACAGTACGAGCCGCCATTGTGGCGTCCCTGTATGCTCTATCCCGTCACTTAAACGTAACACATAGTTTCTGAAATAAGTAACACATAGTTTCTGAAATAGGTAACACATAATTTCTGAAATAAATGGACACAACTTTTACAAACACAAACGTATACAAGAAAAGCATTGATGCAAAGCATCAAAGGGCGACGCCAAAAGAATTTGATCCAGGTTTGCACCTAAATACTTAACAAAAGATGTGTACTTTATAGCAGTACCATTTCATGTGACCTGGAAGCTAGGCCCAGTTTAAGTTGAAACTTAAACCAAAACGAAAAGACTCTGTCTTGCCAAGATGCAAAGACAATTTATAGTCAATTAACTAATCTTACGATTTATTTTACCAAATACAAGGATACCTGAGTCATCATCATATAATCACAGGCACGAGTATCGGACCTGGGAAGAAAAAGTATGACCAGATTGATAAAAAAACTGTGTTCATCTTAAAAGTGTCAAAAACCAAAAAAAAAAAAATTGTAAATAATGACCCCCTTTAAAAATATACTATTAACTTAAAGTATATTTTTAAAGGGGGGTCATTATTTACATTTTTTTGGTTTGTGACAATTTTAAGATGAACACAAGTTTTTTTTATCAATCTGGTCATATTTTTTCTTCCCAGGTCTGATACTTGTGCCTGTGCATATAATAAAAGCTTATTGCTTAGGTTGCAGACATGTCATTGACATATATTCGACATAAAAGAGGACCTAAAATGAACATCAGGGGGACACCATAGGTACTCAGAGCAGTAGTAGAAGGAGTACCAGCCACATCAACCAGCTGCTATCAGAGATAAGACTTGAACCATGTAAGAATGTCATTACATATGGCAGATGCTTGAAGTTCCATGAACAACTAGAAGAAAAAGAACTTCTTCATGTGCAGTTTAGTGTGATCAACTGTATCAAAGGCTTTTTGTAGATCTAAAAGTATCATGCAATACTGCCTTTGTCCATTTCAAATAAAATACAATCTATTAAATGAATCAAACATGTGTCAGTTGAAAAACCACTTCTAAACCCTGACTTAAACTGCCTGACCATGACTCGAACCCATGACTTTCAGAAGACCAACTGAGCTATCCGGCCGGCTTCACATTTTCTCTTTAATAATGAAATAGTTCTAAACCACAACATATTTCCCCACTCAATTGGTTCATGACCTTGAATTTCTGATGTTTACAGAGCATAGTGAATTAAACTCATGGTTATATGCAGTCACTGGATGAGAAAAACTTTCAGCTTGACCAGAACTCAAACCTGTGACCCACAGAATAATGTACCGCGGCTGTAAGCGATTGAACTATCTGGCCGCTTACACATTTTCTAGCCTAAATAGTGAACAGTTCTAAACCGTGACAGATATTTAGATTTTTAAATTAACAGATAATTAATTCTTAATTAATAAATAAGAAATAAAAACCTTACATACTCATAGTCGAAATTAAAATAACAATTTATATATTATGTATAATTATTTTTAATAAAAAGGGCTTAGACAGTAAACTATTGGTTGTGCCATTATTTATAACAGGTCAATTTGAAAGTGAACATAACTGTGCTAATACATGTACAATATCTATTTTTTGTACGGATAAAAAACTAACCCTTTTTCTATGATAAGAAATTTTATGAAGGCTGATTTGTATTTTGCATCAAGGGCACTGGGCGAAAACATGAAAATGCAACAAACACACCACTTTGTGTCTGGCGCCCGGTTACTTTTTTGTACTTTGTTGGTTTTCATGTGGCAAAAATCACCCGCTATAAAATTTAGTGTACAAATTTATTCAAGGGCAAGTAACAAGACTACTCTATGAAAAGTCTGTTGTCGGGTTGACTCAGGAGACCTAAGCTTGGAAATTGAGACCGGTGTCCCTCCATTACAAATAGATAAGTCAGAAGTTGTCCTTTTCAATCTATGCACATGTTAGAAAAAAAATAGAATAACCATTCAAAATATGATTTTTTGAGACTTTATCAATTATATTGCTTGATCCAAGTTTCAGGACATTTTCAATCAATACATGTATTATCATTTATAACTTTAAATGAAAGTCTCATCCCTTTAATAATTATGACATAACTGTAACTCTTTAAATTCAGAAATATTATAAGTCTCATCATATCAATATACTAAGATATACATGTATGCACATAACATTAATAATTCCCAGTTTCTATTAAAATAAATATGAAATCCTAACATTAACATTGGTACTCAATGGATGGAATTCAAAATCTAGTAGAATATATAAACACTGTTATAGATACTATTATTAGCCAGCTAACACTGGGTATAAACAACTATAACCTGTAGACTGATCAACACATGTATTATCATTTATAAATTTAAATGCAAGTCTCATCCATCATAACTGTAAGTCTTTAAATACAGAAATACACATTATATCCATATACTATGATACACTTGTATGCACATTACATTAATAATTCTCAGGTTCCATTAAAAATAAATATAACATCCTATTAACAGGAATTCATAATCTTGTAGAAAGAATAGATAAAAACAAAATCCCTAAAGAAAGCCCAACACGGCAAAATTGAAAATGTACATGATATTGTATAGTATAAAAGTAAAAAAAATCTCAAATAGTCTATATCATGTGATACAGATTAAGTTGTGTTAGTGTCTAAACATTAAATGCATATCTCTTACAGTAACAAATACTGTCCCTCTTTTAACCTTCCATTAGACTTTACTATACAATGTATAACTAACTGCATATAATGTAATCAAGTGTTTAAAATGAGCACCTATATGTATAGCTTAAATATTCTACCTTTCATTTTTACCAAAGGTTATTTTAGTAACAATTCATATACAAACACATAGAAAATAATAATTTCACATAGTGATTAGAAGATGCCTCTAGCAGAATACCTATAGGTATGTACCAACTGAACAAACTAGAAAAATCTGGTCTAGGGTATATCAAGCCAGTAAAAATATATATCAATATTCACTCATCAGGGCCTCTCTGCTTTTGATGACCTTACAACTGGTAAATTTTATAAAAAAAACAAAAAATAGTAAATAATACTAAATATAGAGTAGACAGAAAAGAACAAATAATTTAGTAAACATGAGTTACTTCCCCTTAAAAGAGAGAAAACCTGAAACCCAAAAGAACACCCTAAACATTAAAATTACGAAATGTTGCAGGCTCAGTCAGTTTTATTAAGCCATGCAAATTAATGGTAAAGTATTCATAAACAAGAGCTGTCCGTAAGACAGCGCGCTCGACTTTTTTATTGCTTGCCAATAAAAAAAGTTTTTGCAGTAAAAGGCAATACAAGAATCTCTGTATTTTTAAAGTGAACAATGGCCATGAGCATTAAGATATTTAGTGAAGAATTATTTTACTGAATTGTGTGATACCCTTGAACACTGCAGGTTCAGTGGATAGGAATGAATTTTTTTAGATTTTTTAAGTTTTTTAGTGCTTGCCTATAATACAAAACATTGACAGTTAAGGGCCATAATTCAAATAAAATCTTTGACAGAATTACCTTCTCCTGGACATGTTTGGGAATCATGATTGTAAACAAGTATTCCAACTTTCAAATTAATATCTCAAACAGTTCAGTCAAAAAGTGGACTGGTACTAAAAACTTAACCAAGATTCTAAGTCGATAAAGGGCCTTAATTTTTAAAACAAATCCTTGACAGAGTTACCTTCTCTTGCGTACAGATGGGGGTAATGATGTGAAATAGCATTAAAAGTTTCAAAGCAATATCTCAAAGGGTTAAGGCAATAAGTGGATTTTACCCATATTCAATGTATTTTCTAAGTCAAAAAGGGGCATAATTCTGTCAAAAACCTTGACAGAGTTATGTCCTCTTGTCTGTTGATGAAGGTCGTGATGGTAAACAAGTATGGTCAGTTTCAAAGCAATACCTCCAATGGTTTTGAAATAAAGTGAGGTGGTACAAAAAACTTAACCAAGCTCAATACACTTTCTAAGTCAAAAAAGGGCCATAATTCTGTCAAAAACCTTGACAGAGTTATGTACTCTTGTCTGTAGATGGAGGTTATGATGGTGAACAAGTATGGTAAGTTTCAAAGCCATACTTGTAATACTTCTGAAATAAAGTGGGGTGGTACGAAAAACTTAACCAAGGTGTGACGCCGACGCCGACGCCGACGCCGACGCCGGGGCGAGTAGGATAGCTCCCCTTTTCATAGAAAAGTCGAGCTAAAAAATAGATGACCTTCAGTTATTGCAGAAAATCGGATAGCTTTCAACATCCGGATACTGGTACACTTTGTAAAAACAACCATTCTGTGCAACAGATCAACGTAATATTGATAAAATCAATAGGATAATCGTTAACAACAGTCCATTACCTATCCGTATACTCATTTGCAGGTGAACTTTCTTCTTGTAAGAACATTTTGAAAATATATAAATGAATTAACGAATGGATACGGCATCAATGTAGACCACAACGATATTCGAAATCTGGGTTTTAGTATTGTCAATAAAACTAAGGGACAAGCTGTTAAACTGAGCCTGCAATTTCGTGAAAATAATATGACAATGCACATGCTTTTTATATAAAGTTATTAAATACAAATATAACAACATATTTGTTTACTTGATTTTTACGAATCAAAATAAATCTAATTAACTCAACATGAAATTAACTGCTAATAATAACAGCTCCTTCCATAGGCAAAAATAAAAAGCATTCCATATAAGACGACGCCGCTCACCGGCGTCGCCAATCACAGTTGAAATCTAATTCGGAATACATTACAATTTTGGAGATTAATAAAAGATGGCGAAGGTTATTGGTGTTCTAGAAGTTAAAAAAATATTTATTAATATTGGTGCAAATTCTGACATGAGGGAAATATGTGTTAATACGCCCGTCTCAAACATGTATTCAATTGAATGAAAAAATACCAAAATTTGTTTAAAGCTCAAGAATTTGGGAAATTTTACATGGAAAGTCAAGGTTATCAATAGGTCTAAGTCAATACAAATGTACATAAAAAGTTAGAGTTTTGAGCTGAGTTATACTTGTGCTTATAAATGAGCTGCGTCACGACAAAACCAACATAGTGCGTTTGCGACCAGCATGGATCCAGACCAGCCTGCGCATCCACGCAGTCTGATCAGGATCCATGCTGTTCGCTTACGAACTGTATTACAAGTAGAGAAACTAATAGCGAACAGCATGGATCCTGATAAGACTGCGCAAATGCGCAGGCTGGTCTGGATCCATGCTGGTCGCAAACGCACTATGTTGATTTTGTCGTGACGCGGCTCAAATGGAGGCTCTTGCTAATGTTATGTATAAGGGTAAAAAAATCCGCTGACACCAAAACAACATGTCACCGACCAATCAATGTAGGGGTAGGTGTCGGGGCACAATCTTGACACATCTGCCACAATGTAATTACAACACTTTTTCCAAACAACAAAAAAAGATTTTTGAATGTTTGAGCAGTAATGATTCTGCTTATCAAAATACCGGATCGGTGTTTTTCATTTTCAACTACTTTTGTGTCTATATAATACAAGCAAGTCTTACTCCCAATATTCCTTTGTCGGGGCTACTCTCTCTCTACCCGTTACGTTCTTGAATAAGTCATAGTCCCACAACCCAGTAAAGTTTCCAGCATTATAACATTCACCATCCGGGCGACGTTCTTCTATAGTACTATTACACGCAACATCTGGCAATCTCTCGCTACAGTCTGTAAGTTAATATTTCGGAAAATTATCAGTTACATGTTGTTTTTACTAATATAAGTAATAGTTATAGTAAATGAAACGAGTTAGTTACGAGGATATATCACTGGCTGAGACGACATTAAGGGATGTTCCTGCTAAATATGTCGAGGCCGTTAGGACGCAGAAACATACCGAGATGACTGCATTTCTCAAAACTGAAATACTGCACGTGATATTTATCACATTCTTAACACAGAAAGACGGCACGTGGCTCTGGAATTATACACGAAAAGGCCCCCTAACGGTAAAGCTAGAAAAGTCAGCATATGACCATAACAGTGACGGCTTGACTTAACGAAAATTCAAACAAAACACATCTACATCTCCCATGAATGAATTTTCAACACGAAAGTTTCCGGATCAAGTCAATTAATATCTACTTTGTCTTGCCGACAAAACACATGTTTTGAGACCTTCAAGAACTAAGAAACAAACAGTTTAAGGTGGAAGAGATTTATTAAGACAAATGTATTTACTATTTTTGTTTTATAAATATAATAGGCATGCTATTTCATTCAGTACTAAGGAGAATAAATACGTATATTTTTTTTGTTGGTTGGCTTTACTTATGTCCATGATAAATTGTTTGACTTCTAAAATATTACTTGACAAGATTAACTTTCTGGAAACTTACATTACAGAATTTATAAATTTAAGAACAATTTCTGTTGCTTACTTACCGCTGTTATTTAATGAAACGCAAAACTTGTATTTATGTAAAAAAACAACCCAACAACAACAACAATAAAAAAAACAAACACAAAAAAACATTTGTTGACTGAAATGAGTTTGATAACAAATTTTTGCTCATGTAAAAAAAATGTTTACCATTTGAATTCCACCATTCGCTACATTTTGACCAAGGGAGATTACTCGTAAAGGATGCAAAGAAATAAAAGTGGCACCAGGCGATGATCATGCAATAGTAGCCGGATATAATAGAGGACGATATCATCATTGCTATACCTAAACCTGGAAATTATACATACATGTATGTTACTAAATATAGCAAATACAAAACATACTGAGATAACATCTACAAATAATTGACATTTTTTTCATATTTTTTCCATTATAGGGAAGAAAAGTGCGTTTCACGCATTGCTGCTATATAACTGAAATATACAAAACAATGTACTGTATACAAAAACAAATTATGAACCCATGATTAAAAAGATCTTAAACATTGCGGAAGTCAAGAGAGTTTCGTCTTTTTACTTTGATTACATTCAAGTTGAGAGATTTGTTATTCACATATTGGATAAATCGAAGAAACAGTATATGAGCCGCGTCATGACAAAACCAACGTAATGCGTTTGCGACCAGCATGGATCCAGACCAGCCTGATCATCCGCGCAGTCTGATCAGGATCCATGCTGTTCGCTATCAGTTTCTCTACTTGTAATAGGGTTTGTAAGCGAACAGCATGGGTCCTGATCAGACTTCGCGGATGCGCAGGCTGGTCTGGATCCATGCTGGTCGCAAACGCATTACGTTGGTTTTGTCGTGGCGCGGCTCATATGAATATGAAAAGATAAAAGCATACCTTGAAACAGTGGGGAGAAATTCCAGCAAGTCGTGGGTCCGCAACTGGTGAACTGACCAAGACTGGACTCCAAATAAAACAACGGGATCCCAACAAACGTCATGAAAAGAATATAGGGGACTAGAAATGCCCCGCCACCATGTCTATAACATGAACAGTATAAGAAGAATTCGTCCCAACAAATATTTTTATTATATAATGACCTTTTTTGGGATATAATTTGATTTTTTTAAAAATTTTCATCAATATTTCTTACTTTCAGTCACATGATACATTTTCAAACATGTTAATACTAAAGCTGATATGTCTCCAAAATATATTTTTTAAAGGATGTGGCCAATGTAGATCAAAAATATTTTAACAATTTGGACTTTAACTTAAACAAAGAAGCTATAAAAAAGAGGAATGTTCATATATCTAGTAAACCTTGTGGTATTTGTGCTATATAAATTGCAATGCAATGCTTTACAGTTTGTAGATCATATACGGTACCTATAACATAAATAAGGAAATCTCCAGACGTTCCCAAGTCCTACGGCATACCCTAGCATAGACAGTATATACTCGAACCTGCCGGTCCAGTTACCACGAGCTTTGTTCTCATCTACACCAAACACTTGCTTTTTAGTCCACACGCCACCTCGTGGTCTACCGTCGGTGCTTGTCGTGCCATAGTCAGGTGTGAATCCCTGTAGAAGCCAGTAAAATGAACATATTTAGTACATTTGGAAGCGTTTGTTAGACAAAATTAAAATGTAATTTAAGATACTGAAATAATAATCGGTCAAAGAAGCAACCACACATTAACATTTGACAATAGGTACAAATCATAGCTTTTTTCGTACATTGAATAATACTATGCTCACCTTTGAGTAAAATATTTTTCTATGAAAGAAATTTATTGAAATCTATAAAATTCTTGCTGAATATGTCTGATTTAAATAAAAGAAGGTACAACAACATCTGCGTTCATTATAACAGGTCAAGTAAAGCTAGTCCGTTAGGATTAAAAGGATAACATTTCTATTTTGTGTGAAGTCATAAAATATTTATTATATATTTCAAAAAGGGTATGAAGCAATTATCAATATTTTCATTTATAAAATTTGAGCATAGTATATCTTTATCCCGAACCAGTCAACTTTGATGTTAAACTGAACAAAATATGCAAAACAGTCCTAGGTTGAAACCTGTTGAGATTTCGAAAGATAAAAAGGTTACCACTTTTAAAAAGAAAGGTATACATACGGAGTATATACCAGGTTGAACACTGCTAACAATATACGTATCTTCTGACCTGACATCTCCATTGGTCAGTGTTATTTGTTCCAGTGCACCGGCGGAAAGATTTTGGTCCACAGGTGTTGCTACGCCATTACTACTCAACGGTTCCTCATTGTACACCAGGGGCTCTTTCATCTTGAAAAAAAACAACAACAATAAAATAACAATTTGACCACAACATGACGACGACGTTATGGTAAATCTATAGTTATAACTTTTCTGATCATTTTTTTAACAGTTCGCCTCCAGGTAGATGTACTCAAATGAATATTTAAAAGTGATTTACATATAGAAGTATAAAAATGTCATATGAACAAGAAAAATAATTCAGTGTAGCATAATGTACAAATATGTCAAAATACGTAAAATATATGCCTCGCTCTTACACAGACCCATTCGTAGCCTGTAGATATTTTTGCATATTCATAACATACGCGCTATTTCATACTTGTTCGTGTTTTTGAAAATATCAATTTTGCCGAACAGAAGCACATAAAAAACGACAGACTGGAACCCAGTCTTAAAGTGTTATTAAAGTCTTATATTGATCGTGAATAAATGCATTTCTTTAACTTTGTATATATGTTTTTCTCAAGTTCAAATATTTTTTTTAAAAATTTCGTTCCAAGCAGATTTGAATTTTATGTTACCAGGCTCAGAAATTCACCGAAATTGTAAGGTCATTGTTACATAGATTGTTCACAGTTTCATTGTAACACATTGTAACTAATGTCTTGAAACTTTGCGCATATTTACATTATAGAGCTGTTGACAATAGTTCATCAATATCAATATACAGATTAAGAAATATGGAAAAATAATGAATCAAAACCTCTGAGATCCTAACAGCAGATTTTATAATTGTATTGATTTATCCGGCCTCTGGTCTGGTATAAATGATCTTAGATGTTTTAAAATATTTTGAATTTTAACTTCCATTAATTTCAATTAAGTATAATAAAAACACGATTGCGGTGTAAGATTCACATCGTGTATCTCATAAACTTTACATATAAATGTCTGTTTCAATCAGTAAATTACGATGATTAATTAATAATCTAATTTTAACAATTTTAAAGCATTAATTATTCTGTTATACATGTATTGGATATTTCTATACCGGAAATGATTGTATTACTATATTGTACTTTTATTTGAGTATATATGAACATCCGTGCTTGATTTGCATATCTTTTGATTATACACTTATACAATTTCAATACTTTTAAAGAACAAGGAAATACACTTGCACATGATTACTACTAGATGGAAATAAATGTGCACTAAAAAGAAATAGTCCGGTGTATCACGTTTTCGGAAAGTTGTTTATACTGTTTATACACACATATATATACATACATATAAATGACATATACTATTTAATAAACAAACATAAATCACAATACATTCCTTACTCTTTGTGAACAACCAAAACATTATACATGTTTAGTTATCCAATACATAGATTTCTTATTAGTAATTTAGATGTACAAATTGATGTAAAGTAGCATGCCAGAAAAACAACTTTATTACAATTATCATACATGTGTGTAGAAATAAACATCATTTTTTTAGAAAAACCCTACACAGTCATTCAATATTGACAATTTGCTTCACGCTATTGATCAAAATAAACACATTTAATACTGGTGTGTGTGTGTCGCGACCTTAAAGTGTATCAATTGATTTTTGCGATACGCCTACAACTTCTTGTCAAATGTATTTAAAATAATTGTAATGAAAATCATACAGAAAATATAAATAAAAAAAAATAAATGCCTTACCCCACCATCCATTTTGACATCTGCCGGGGGATTTCCATATATGACATGTAAACCATGAATTTTTAATGAATCACGTGACCCAAGGTGCGAGTATCGTTTTACAGGTGAATAAACTATTAAAGGGAGACAACCAAGGTGTGACTGTTGATATGTGACACTGAAATATTTTTACGACATGATACAGTTAACTACACAGTGTATGTTGCATAAGTTATTTTATTTCTATAAAAATACGTGTAAACTATTAGAGCGTTCCATATACTCTTATTAAATTCATTCATTTTATTCTTAAATTTACATTTTCTCAACTCATTTTTAAGTTTTCTCAACTCATTTTTAACTTCAGTTATATTTATATATCATTGATTAAACTTATAACAAAATGTAAGGTAACGTTAATATCTATTTCTAATTTTTACTACAATTTTCACTTTATTTATAAAAATGCATCAATTTTATTATTGTGACTTTTAGAAGATTTTCCATTGTATAGTGGAAATACTTATTTTTCACATTGTAGAGCGGTAAACTTCTATTTAGGTATAGGTTTAAATAATATGCACCGCTTAAGATTACAGTTTTAACTTCGATTTTCAATGTTTTGTGACAAATCAATAAAAAAATGCATACAATTTTTCATAAAAGTTTTCTTAAAAGCTACCGGGGATACAGTATACTTTATAAGGGATCAGAAATGTCTTAAGGAAAGTTATATTTTATAATTTCCCTTTTGTAGCTGTTATGCTTTAATGAAATTTATACCACCATTTCATATCCAAATATTCAGTACCGTTTTTACTTCTTTCAATATCCGATTTAACTTTATATATAGAAATTATCTGCCTGAGTGATTTCGTATACACTACATGTATTTTGTATTGTCTTAAAAGACACACTTACCCTTTGGTTAATCAGTACGTATGAATATTCCCTTTTAGTTTTATGGAGTTTCTATGAATGTATTTTGAAGATGTGGTTTTAAGGATTACAAATTTCGATATACATGAAATTTAGGATATTTCATATTCATTTTAAAATAATTTTCGTTTACTTTCGGAAAAATAAACATGTCAAGTTCTCGGGCACCAACTAAGAAACTGGCAGAAAAATGGCGGAGACCATCAGTGTCCGATGACGTCAGTGTGTGTAAGATATGTAACAACGATTTTGTAGAACCGCGCACCTTGCCGTGTATGCATTCATTTTGTCAAGAGTGTCTTTTAGTTCTCTTGAAAAGCTACGAGCAACAGAAAAAGCTAGACCGCACGTTCTTCTGCCCGACCTGCAATGTGCGTACCCCGTGCCACGTGCTAGGAAAGGTTACCGCTGATTGGTTAAGAATGTTTCCTAGGAAACACGTGCTTGACAAATTGAAAGAAGCCATATTGGTTGTAGAAGAAATGTGTCACCCTTGCTCTAAATCATGGAAGATTACTCCGGCGATAAAATTCTGTACAGAATGTCAGGAATACATGTGTATGGCGTGCAATGAGGACCATAAGAGCAACATACAGTACAAACAGCACAAAATAGTCGACTATGAGGTGAAAGAAATGAAGAACACACCTGTATCTAACATTTCAAAGTTCCAGTGCAAACAACATAAGTCTTTAAGGTAAAAATCCACTTAAAATAAGATAAAAATAATGCATCACATGACTCTTTTGTTATAAACTGAATATATCTTTGAAGATAATGTGTATATTTTCAAGTAGGAAGATTTTGAATATTTTTAATTTACATTATTTCAAGTCATAAATGTATCAACGGATTTATTCATTTCACCTCATTACTAAATAAATTTGCAAAAAAAAATCACATATTTAAGTTGAAACTTCGATACATGTATTTGTTTATTCCATTCATTCACTTATTTTTTTCTTTTTGAAGTTTTTATGAGTAAACATTTTCTTATGATGAGTCAACAGTGTTTGCTTTCATTTTAGATATACATCATTTTGTGAAATACACCAAGAGTTCCTTTGCAACACATGTAAGGAAGGTATAGCCCATCGTCAATGTCGTATAACACATCGACTTATTGAAGCAACAGGTAACATAACTAAAGCCGAGACGAAACTTAACGTTCTTAATTCTCTAAAACGCAACGAGCGAAATAAAGGGAAGCAACTGTTGAAACTAATAGAGCAAATTGATCAAATTCAAGATAAGCTAGAAAAGTGTCGTCTAAAACAAGTGGAAACATACTGCAATTATGTAATGCAGGTAAATATAATTTCTGCTTATTGTTGTAACATTTTTTCTGGTCATTCAGTGCTAGGGTCGCACGAAATGTTGCAAGTTCGAATTCAAACACACTCTAAAAATCAAACTGAGTCTTTCCTTCGTTTTATTGCGCATGAGGGATTTCCCTTTCACATCTTTTTGCAGAGGAAGTATATTTGTAATTTTAAAAATTCAAAAAAAAAATATGTAACCACAAATATAAGCTAGTGTTTGACAATGCTGAACATTATTTAGAAAATGAATTATAACTATGCCATAATGATTCTTGTTGACATCAAATCAACTCATATCAACTCATAAAATCATATCTATTTTACTTGATTAATGCTTTGCTTTGTTTTCAGGCCAGTTTGACGGAACAAAAAACGGAAGCTGTTGACGCTCTGAAAGGCAAAGTCGAGTTTGTAAAGATCCACCAATCCCACGCTATTGTCAATAACACCATCAATAATGTTGAAGATATCCTTAACAGTTATACTCGTGCATTTGCTGATATCGCTGATGTTGATGATAAAGCTGTGAAAATCGAAATAACTAAAGGAATTTCAGACATTGAAAAGATTCTGAGCAAACCAGCATTCGGTAATTTAATTTTCTCATCTTCTACACACTGTTAATGATATTCTCATTTGTTGTTTTGTTATACCATTTTGTTTATCATGTACTGTCATGTGCCCTTATGAGCCTTGACTTTTTCATTAAACTTGAAACTTAGTAAATAATTCGCCGGGTGTTTATTTTGATATCGAATTACAATTACTCAAAATTGGTTACGATTCATTAATTTATCTAGTCATGGCATAACAATGAGAGATGCACACAATTTTTACAGATGCATTCGGTGCTAAAACTGACATTGACACATCTACATCTGAAGTGCCAGATAGAACAAAACAAGGTACTGCTACGAAAAATACTTCAGTAAATATAACAAAGGAAGCTGCTAAAGGTGCTGATAATGGTGAGAACATTTTTGTTTTTACATTTTAACAATCTCCAGGGGGTAATTTCGAAATTATTACGATACGTGAATATAAAAAAGAAAACTATGTTAGCAAAAGAAAATAACGTTACATGTTCGTCAGATCGAGAAAGAAATATAAGGAGCGTTTTCTTGTATACATTTGGTCATAGATTATAATTATTCCATTTATAAAACCGAGATTGTAATTTATTATTTAGTATGTGATGAAAATCAGTGAAATATATTTACAGTTTCCAAAATAAATGATAAAGGGAAAGAAAATTCCGAAGAGGAAGAAACGCTACACGTATGCAAAAGACACGTAGATGACACACTAGACGAAGAGACATTTATGAGACTAGGTGGCGCTTTACAGTCAGTAGGCGCTTTATGTTACCGTAACATGTCATCTACCGCTTTTAGGGTTGGTTCTAAGTACGTGATGACTGCTGCACATACTGTTAGAGACATTGTAGGTAAATACTTTCTGCACACATGCTGATCTTTTTACGCCGTTTATATAGTTTGTACAAAACATGTTGATTTTGTTTGATAAGTTTGTTTTTGTACATTTCTTGCAATATGGATCATTGATGCCAAGACATTCTTTATTAAATTCTAAACCCGATTTACATGTATCTTATTTGAGATGGGCGAGTAATGTTTCACACACTTTTACTTCTCACGAACAGACTCTGCGAAAAAATATATTAAAAGTCTGAAATAGTTGCTGATTTATGCTCATTGTTGATTGTTTTCATATTTACATGTTTGCTATATAAACCAGTTAACCGAAATCTTACACGTCTCACAATTAACATTAACATGCATGGTGCGTTTTTCAAAGAGATATTTAATATTACTTTCTGTTTCATTACAGATCCTGATAGATTAGGAAAGATAGACTGGTCAATTTTGGAGGGGCCCGGGGTATATTTAACATTTACTTCCCCGACATCGAGAAATGATTTGAAAAAGTATCACCTAAACCAACTCGTTTCGTTCCTTGATGACGAGCTGAATGTAGCTATTCTTGAGATAGCCGATATCGACACTTTACCCCCTCCTCTGATTCTTAGCAGGAAGGACATAACTACTCTAAATGTTCACGAGGTTGCAATCATTGGATATGGTCACAAAGGTACTCATAGCAAACATTTGGATATCAAATGTCAACTGTTGGGACCCGAGTCTGACAGGGCTGTAAAGGTATGTATATATGATAAGAGTTAAATATCTACAACGGGTCCTTACCAAGAATAATAATATCGCCTGTTGTTAATTCCGTTTCATGGAAATCATTGATGCACTGTTTTAAAAAATAATCATTTTTTTAGACAATGGAGCAGCAATGCAACTTTACATTATCTGTTATATTACTCTTGATAGATCCCTACTCGATCTGATACAAATGACGTTAGAATTAGACAGGTCAGGGATCTAAACATTATAAGTATGTGATTTCGCAAGTCTCTGAATGTTATTAGATATAACATGTGCACTGATCAATGTATGAATTGTTCGAAAATTGACGTTAAAGGATATCTAGATCATTCTATTGAAATTACAGGCACTGAAATGGTTGAAGTTAGAGGAGAGGAAACATCGATGTAACATGTTGGTAAAACAACGAGATCCACCACCCATCAACTGGCATTACGATGAAATAAAGGAATCATACAATGTGGCTATAGACTGCTGTATGGAATATAGGGCACAGGGAGCCCCTGTCATTACAAATACTGGTACTGAATTTCTTCGAAATTAGTTAATAGGTTAAGAATGGAAAGAAGAAAACTTTGATATAACAGTATAAGTGATATTATATTGTAATGGCGAATTTGTTTGAAGTTGTAAAAAGATATTATAATTCTTAAGTTCTTTTGATACAGATAGTTTCGTGTCGGGTATTTAATCTGAAATTTGAATAACGAACTAAGATTTATTCTATTATGTTCAATTATTTGTATATGTAGTATTGTTGTAATCAAAAGAATATTACCAATAGTCTTAAAATAGAGAAAAACAGAATCCCTAAAGAAAGTCCAACACAACAAAATTGAAAATGTTGCAGGCTCGGTTTGATTGAACCTGTTCATGGACGGTAATTGAAAGTGCAAGTTACCGTCCATGCCCCCTAGCACCGGCTTAAAGCAGAATTCAACATTTAACATGAAAATGGTGAAATTTTGAATTAAGAAACATCCACAGATGTGTTCATACGGCGGTTATCATGGAACCTTCAATGTGACACAGACGTGCCATTCCATGAAAAGCGGCGTATGGTCCCCAAATAAAAGAATGCTTTTGCCCTAAACGAGAAAACAATGGGCGGAACTAAATAAAATGGAATTTTGAAAGGGGATCTGAGGCTATGAAGCCTGCATATCACAGATAAGACGTCAAAAGAAAAATTTAAAAAGCAGGCAACATATCCTAAGGGTGATTATACAGTATTCAAGTAGGAATACTGGAACCACCCAAGTTGAAATTGGCCGAAGAGAAGAAACTAAAAGTACCACAGAACATGTATACACAACAATATTGTCGTGCTGAAACGATCTTCAAGGATCGAAAATATAACATCATTGATTAAATGTACGGGGAGACTTTTTAAGATATGCAAACAATTCTTTTATTTACATCAAATGTAAATTTATTCATTTTAATAAACTTTTCTTCAAGGGCCATCGGGAGCAGAAGTACTTGCGATCGTAACGAGGAGTATACCGGAATGTTTTACTGACCTTCCTAAGAAAACGCAAGAACGCTGTCTGGCATATAGGTTTGAAACGGCTACAAAAATGTCAAGTCTATACGAGAGGCTAAAAATAGAAACTCGCGTCCTTGCAGACGACATCTTCATAACAGATAAAACATTCTTTGAATTAGGAAGTTTTGATACATTTTGTGTATCTTCTGCTAACTTTGCAACAAGTACACCAAGACTCCCTCAAATGGGAACACCAAATGATTCCGATGTTGGAACACTGAGGTCGTCTGCTAGCAGTAATTTTTGATAACTTTTTTTTCAGATAGATTTTCGTTAATTTACGATGCTTTTATAACAGAAAACTAAGCATACAAGTACTTGGAACAAGAGAACGTCTTGGTATAAAATCAATAAATAAATCCATGTAAACCAGTTTATTTGCGACAGAGATAAGATAAAAAATATTTGATAAACTCTTTTTTTCAACTTCCTTAAACAAAACAATGCTTTCCTTTTACTACTTTTTGCACAAATGGATAATTTGAATATTCCGCAATAACTGTTTATTGATTACGTAATTTTGTTAACCAAGTATTAAAGAAATGTCGTAGTGAATTTGTTAGTAAAGTGATATGGTGACTATTTAAAGTGTTGGCTTGTACATATCTGAGTTTTCTTGAGCTCCTTGAACCATTTAATGCCATGCAGAATCGTCTATTACAATTTTGGTATGGGTACTTGTCAACCTTTTCATCATTTATTAAATGTTTAGTGTTCGAATAAAAAACAATTTTACCTAAAATAAACTTTTACCATTAAGCAAATATAAATCTATAACGTAGATGTGCATTTTGAAACTTTAGAAAGATTGAAGGTCAAGCTCGAAATAATCTTAACTGTTGTAAACATAATTCAAATGATAAACGATCATCTAAGATGTTATAAAATCATGTCGAAACTAAATGAGCCGTGTCACGACAAAACCAACATAATGGGTTTGCGACCAGCATGGATCCAGACCAGCCTGCGCATCCGCGCAGTCTGATCAGGATCCATGCTGTTCGCTATCAGTTTCTCTACTTGTTATAGGCAGGCTGGTCTGGATCCATGCTGGTCGCAAACCCATTATGTTGGTTTTGTCATGACGCGGCTCAAATGTAAAATGATCTGTAACGGATCTGTAACGGAAGGTCTGTTATAATATAAATAAACGAGAAAGTTTCTAAAAAGGATTCTAGCTTTCTACTCAATCCTTTTTGCATTTGATTGTATATATATTTCGTATATATGTTTGATTGAAATACGTGTAACATATTGTTTAAACTAATAGATAAATACGTTGATATTGCCAGACATAACCACACACCAAGTAAAAATTATATCTGGAGTGTGAGTTACATAATCCGATCATAAATATACATTGTATAAAAAGATAATAAAATGTTTTTTATACAAAATATTATTTTTCATCATGCTTGATAAACATTTTAAGCAATATTCTTTGAAGAATATAAAAATGATATATTTCAATTGTTTTTTTTTATCATTATTTGAAATTTTCATGGAAAATGTGCCCATTGTAGACCAATCCGCTTTAGGATCACTATGTTCATCTTTGTCGTAATTGGCTCAAGCATTATGAGCCGCGCCATGACAAAACCCACATAATGAGTTTGCGATCAGCATGGATTCAGACCAGTCTGCGCATCCGCGCAGTCTAACCAGGATCCATGCTGTTCGCTTGAATAGAGAATCTGATAGCGAACAGCATGGATCCTGATCAGACTGCGCGGATGCGCAGGCTGGTCTGGATCCCTGCTGGTCGCAAACCCATTATATTGGTTTTGTCGTGGCGCGGCTCTTATGATTTTTAAGTCTGTTCAAGATCAGTGTCATTTAGGCTCTTCGGTCGTATTGGCACATGTCTTAAATAACTTTCAGATATTAACCAGTGTGTATTTTAACAGGATCAAACAAAATAATTTGAATACTCAAATTATCAGTAACATGATGAATGTGGAACATTTCATCAAATGATTACCTTTCTAGCTCTAACATTTTGCACATTTCAAATAAATATAAACACACATGGATTTAAACAAAGTATGCAGATTCACATTTTTCTCCATGTTTAATTACTTTATAAAATAGTATAAAACAGTAATATACACGATAAAAAATCAAAATATTAAATGCAAATGATGAGCAGGGTTAAAACAATGCAGTAAAACATTTTTTTAAACAATTAAAGAACGAAGCTCAACGATACTAATGTATCTATAATTACTCCAATGTCCTACGATAAGGTAAATGTTCATAAAGTAGATTCAAATGTTATTCTAGATGCCATTGAGTTGCTGGATTTCGCGGTTGAGTGAGATCTTACACTAACAGCTGAGACTGAGCCTTTACTTCGTGATCTCTGCAATAAAACAAAGAGAAAATGATACGTCAAACACGGAAAATGTTTAAAAAAGCTGGGTGATTGAACTTTTGATGAATATTCGTTTTACCGAATTCATTAAATACAACCTGAATCTCAATTCATTTTTATTTACACTATACGAGTACAGTTGTTGCTGTTGTTTTTCTGTGCAAACATTGAAAACTGTCATAGAAAAATTTCAAGTCTTATGCTTTTTATCAATTTTATACCCCCCTTCCAAAATAAATAAATAAATAAAATAAAAAAATTCATACCCTCCACAAAACAACAACAACAACAAAATCATTGTTATCTTTATACCCTGCAGGCCAAACTAAGTTATATTATACAAATTAAAAGTAAAGAGAATGATATGGTTAAAACATAATTTGATAAAATACAGAAACGTGTTCTTACAGTTAAACTGTTTACGCTACCGTTGATAGAAGAACCAGAGTATCCTCTGTTTAAATAAGCTTTTTCTGTGAATGGATCGACAACAAAACCGTTCACATAGTCCACTAACTCTCTATGCTTTACCAGAGCAGGTCCCCATGATCGTGATGGTGCCAGTAACAATTTCACTTTCTGGAATAAAATAAACAAAAATAAAGATGTTAAGATTTCTGGTCAAGACCCAAAGAAGCAGTAATGGCGTGACTGACTTGCTTTGAAGAGGTTATCTCACAAAGCGTTAAACATGAATGGTAAAACAGAACAAACAAACAACAAGAATTTGTAACAGAGTTACCAACGTCCTCCGCCTCGGGAACTTTTATATGAAGCATAAAATTGTGCTATAAAAAAGACTGAGGTATGGATCTCAGGACATTTAGTCCAAAATTATGATCAATGCTAGATCTGCAAATGCAACAATAAATTTGTTAAAAAAATAAAATGAAACACGGAATTTAAAAATCTATCATGTTATGCTTTGACCTCTAAGTGTGACCTTGACCTTGGAGGTAGGGGAGCAGGTGTTGTGCATGATATGACGTCACATTATTGAGACTATTTGTGCCAAGTATTTTCAAAATACCTTGTACTATGAAGAAGTTATAGATTGGACACAAACTATACCCTATAACAGACTATGTTAATTTTTGACCTCTAAGTTTGACCTTGACCTTGGAGGTAGGGACACAGCTGTTATGCATGACATATCATCTAATCATTGTGACTATTTGTGCGAAGTATTTTCAAAATCCCTTAATCTATGAAGAAGTAATGGACGGGACACAAAATATACCAAATAACAAACTCTGTTAACATTTGACCTCTAAGTGTGACCTTGACCTTGGAGGTAGGGGTGCAGGTGTTGTACTTGACATATCGTCTTATTATTGTGACTATTTGTGCAAAGTTATTTCAAAATCCCTTGAACTATGAAGAAGTTCTAGATTCGACACAAAATATACCCTATAACAGACTATGTTAATTTTTGACCTCTAAGTGTGACCTTGACCTTGGAGATAGAGATGCAGGTGTTGCGCATGACACATCCTCTTATTAAAGTGACTATTTGTGCGAAGTATTTTCAAAGAAAAAGTTATGGACCGGACACAAAATATACCCTGTAACAGACTATGAAAGTATTTGACCTCCAAGTGTGACCTTGACCTTGGAGGTAGGTGACCGGTTTTTGCGCATGACACATTGTCTGATTATTGTGAACAATTATGGCAAGTATTTACAAAATTCCTTCATAGATAAGAAAGTTATGGACCGGACACGACATATACCCTCAAATAGACAATGTTGACCTTGAATGAGCAAGTGCGACCATGACCCTGGAGGTAGGGGTCTGGTTGTTGCGCATGACACATCGTCTTATTATAACAAACATTTGTGCCAAGTTATTTCAAAGTCCTTTGATAAATGACAAAGTTATGGACCGGACACGAAATATACCCTGTAACAGACTATGTTAATATTCGACCTCAAAGTGTGACCTTGACCTTTAAGGTAGGTGACTGGTTTTTGCGCATGACACATCGTCTGAATATTTTGAAAAATTATGGCAAGTATTTACAAAATCCCTTCATAGATAAGAAAGTTATGGACCGGAAACGACATATACCCTCAAATAGACAATGTTGACCTTAAATGAGCAAGTGCGACCTTGACCCTGGAGGTAGGGGTCTGTTATAATAAACATTTGTACTAAGTTATTTCAAATTCCTTTCATAAATGACAAAGTTATGGACCGGACACGAAAGTGTGACGGACGGACGGACAGACGGACGGACGTTCCAACATTTTGGGTTTAGGGGCTATTTTCTTTGTTATTTTCTTTGTTATCTTAAGGGCTACTAGCCTATAAACCCTTTGATCACGGAATGAACCTATTGTTCTCTTTTGTTCTCTTTACTGTTACATTGCCCCTAAACCCAAAATGTTTGCTCGGACAGACGGACGGACGGACGGACGGAGCCTATTTCTATATCCCCCTTTTTTCTTCGAAAAGGCGGGGGACAATAAAAACATAAGAGCATGCTTATAAGTTTTTTACAGCGCGTGTTTCGACAATCAATTTATGATAACCTACTTCTAGAATAGTATCACCATCATCCTCCTTACATAACTTATAAATCATTGCACCAGGTATAAATATAACAGAGGATAAAGCCAGGAGCCAACCTACTGCATCAACCCAACCAGGATACACGTAGTCACCATACGTCACTGATGTGTAGTCTATCCACGCAAATATCAGGATAAACTAATCGAAAAAAATGGAAAAATTGTTGAAATTATATTCTTTGTTATTTTTCATTCAAGATAAATGATAATATATGCACGAATTCAAAAAGTCGTGATATATGTATTGATTTATTAACTTATACAATGTTATATATAAATTATTATACTAAAAGTGATAAGAATGACATCTTAATCATACGATTGGAAGATCATGTGCATGGATAGATGTTTCAGCTTTTGAACAACTTTCAACTATATTACTATGTATTTCATAAACATAACCTGTGGTACTTTCAAAGAAATGTTTTGATTTAATTTATTCATGATACTCATTATCTATACATAAAGCAAACACCATTTTAACAACAAATTAATATATACCCAAATTGTGCCATATAACATTTTCCTTAGCAAAAGATTAATATACTAAATTCTAAAGGGATTCGTATATTTTATTGGCATATTCTTGCTTACCGTAATTCCTATTGGAGCTGTGGCCATCCACGTGACTTTCCAGAATAATGAAGGCTGAGTGCCCGTCATTAGCTCAATATCAGAACAGAATCGCCGCCAACCTGATAGAAAGTGCAAGTTTACTTTAATTTTCATATCAACGTACATTCATTTAATGTCAAATAACTGGATAGGTACAGAGAACTTATCAAAACACAAAAAACTTCACACTGTTAAACTGTGTGTCTCTGCAAACATACAGTAGGACTTTACGGATGTTTTAAAACTGACTTTTATTACTTATCATCAATTTACAACCTAAAATTCATACATAATATCTATATTTGCAATGATTACCAAAACGTTTTTAGGTTTGTAAACAAAAGTATTCAGACCAACTTACAATATTTTTATGATAAGGAAACACCAATTGAGTATTGATAACTCCGGTGAATGCAAAGATGTTAAATAACTAATAACTCACCATAAACATACGTGATAGCTATGACCTCTGTAAGCCCTATGAGGAGTAGTGACCAAGCGGCCACGTAATAGTCTAATATCTGCAGTATATACACTCCTCCCTGTTTTAACGAAAAATAAGAATTATTTATTTTTGAAATACACATTTGTTAACCTCTAGGATTTCAAACTGAATGTGTAAGGCATACAAAAAGCAAAAAGGGTATGTATCTTTTATATGTGAAACATAAACAAAAAAGTGTTGTGGTTAAGGTACATAAAGGAATGGTCAGTTGATAATATATGATATTTGGATGCATGTCTCTAAAAATAAAATAACAATTACGTAACACATACTTTAAGTTATCATTTAATATCATATCGAAACATTTTAATACAAAAGGGTTATAGAATCAGTTAATTAGATAATTTTTAAAATGTATTTCTTTGAGGAAATTTGCTTCTATTACTTCTTAGAACTTTGACACCATAACAAATATCAATTGAGCCGCGTCATGACAAAACCAATTTAATGGGTTTGCGACCAGCATGGATCCAGACCAGCCTGCGCATCCGCGCAGTCCATGATGTTCGCTTACAAACCATATTACAAGTAGAGAAACCGAAAGCGAACAGCATGGATCCTGATCAGACTGCGCGGATGCGCAGGCTGGTCTTGATTCATGCTGATCGCAAACCCACTATGTTGGTTTTGTCATGACGCGGCTCAATTATTTTCTGTCTATCGTTTTATAAACATACCAAGTCTTTCACTTTGAAACAGAATATTCTAAATAAAGAAATATCCAATGATCAATTATTTAAAGAGGATTTTAAAGGAAATTAATAATAAATGAACAACGCTGATTTTTACCGGTGTACACATCGGAAGTCCCAACAAGAATGATACAATACAAATACAGCCAATCACAGGAGACTTGTATTTCCGGATATCCGGGAAAGAGTCACATATACCCGTCAGCACCGTCTCAACTGTTGCAAACTAGGAAAAAAGAGAACAAATAGCAATGGAATCGTTTTCATTAGTATAACAATCAAATAATAACAATATTTTACCATATATATTTGCCAATTCATATTATTGTATTGTTTTCTGTACAATTATTTAAATGCCAGACAACACATCCGTGCAGTCCGACCTCACTGATTTAATTTTGAATTCGAATTTTTATAATGAATAATGGATAAGTTTGAGTTTGAAATATAACACAAAATCAGCAAAGTTAGGTAAAATAGCCCAGTATAAATTGTTGTAAGACAAAACTGCCCGGGTCATATACATGAAAGGCCACACAAACTGTAAGAAGTCCGTAAAATCGACATGTCTGTAATACTGTCCAATTGTTCTCCTTGACCTAACTATTTTGTGAAAAAAAAAAAAATAATAAAAAAAATACACAAATCGTCGTTAAAAACGAACAGATTATTACATAGAAAATGAAGAAAAAATTATTTATTTACATACCTGGCTATCTAGACCCAATGTGATAAGCATGAAGAAAAAGATGATTGCCCAGAACGTTGACCCAGGAAGACTATTTAGAGCCTCCGGGTATATCACAAACACTAAACCAGCTCCTGTATAATGTAATATCATTTTATTATCATTATAATATATTATAAAGTCAGGTCTTACAATACATGTATAACTGTTGGTTGTTCCATCTTTGCTTTTATGCTCTTGGACCGATAAATCGGGAGGACCATATCAGTTTTGGTCTGTTTGTTTGTCTCAAAACTTTTATCTCCAACATAAATATCGAAAGTTCTTTCTGCCTACAACAACTCCAAACTTAAAAGGTACACACACCCTGATGAGCTCTTACAGTCAGACCCACGCTGACAAAGGTCAAGGTCGCCAGGGTCAAAGCCCTCCAAGTGGCATAGTATAACGATAGGCAGGGCAAAATTAAAAGCAGTACAATAGCGTTACACAACTTCGGCAATAAAAGTAGTGTATTTACTAGTATCATCATTTATATCATTATTTTTGACAGTAAAGTCTCAGTAGTAGTAATTAAAAGATTTTAGACATAACTCTTGTTATATTAAAATAAAACTAGTTCAGTGTTAAACGGACTTCGAACTGCAAGGTAGTTCATAGGAATCTGAACTTTATATGATAAAACTTGTATACATGTATGTATATGCAATTAAGAATAAACAAGTTACAACAAACATAAGAAATACTGTACCACTTGTTGCGACCTCGTCGACTTTAACATCTAGCTGTCCTGCCATAAAACCAATGTAGGAAAATATTACAAATCCTCCAAATATACTCGTCATACAGTTGCCAAGCGACACAATCAACGAATCCCTGTTATTATACAAAAAACGTCTATAAAACAATGTATACAAATATGATACATTCTTTACCAACCAGTTTTTAAACTGGTTAGTTTGTTTACAAAGTTCAATATACTGAATAAAGACAAAAAAGTTGGCCTAACTAAAAGTAAAGTTACATATCAACACTCTCCTTATTCATTTCGTTTGATGAAAAATGCAGGCGACAATAAAGAGTCGTGACTAACTTGCTATGATTTTCACATAGAAAATTGCCATATACCGATTTTATTTATTGAAGTGAGAAATTAAAGTTTACCTGACTATGTTATTGTGGAATCTATTGTAACTCGATAACGCTATTAGACCTCCCCATCCAGGTCCCATTGAATAAAATATCTGAACAGCAGCGTCACGCCATACCTGTAGTTGTTTTGTATGATAAAACATTAAATGAGCCGTGCCATGACAAAAAAATATAATGGGTTTGCGACCAGCATAGATCCAGACCAGCCTGCGCGTCCGCGCAGTCTGATCAGGATCCATGCTGTTCGCTTACAAACCCTATAACAAGTAGAGAAACTGACAGCGAACAGCATGGATCCTGATCAGACTGCGCGGATGCGCAGGCTGGTCTGGATCCATGCTGGTCGCAAACGCATAACGTTGGTTTTGTCGTGACGCGGCTCAAATGCAGCTCCACAAGAACCTAAAATAATTTATAACTATAGCTCTGAAGAATAAATGGACACTCAGACAATTTTAAGCATACATATATTCCATCAGTTAATTATTTAATTATAGTACATGTATTAAATATAATTGGTAATTACCTTTGCGCTGGCAAGTTTACTAAACTCTGGCAAGATGTAGAATTTGATTCCCTCCCCTGCGTTCTCTAGCGTCACCCCACGGAAGAAAAGAATAAGCAGCAATACATATGGAAATACGGCAGTAAAATACACAACCTGGCATAATAAGACAAGATTATATTCATGAATATGGGATATTTGTAAACTTCATGTAAAAGTATGAGAAATATATACGATTTTTCTGTCAATTGATAAGTAATTATTACAAATGTATCTAAATGATGCTGAATGTTGAAAGAAAGTTAAACCTGAAATTTATTAAACAACTTAATACCGTCATTTTTTTTAAATGTTAAAATAATCTATAATACAGTATCCTACTGTACCACACATTCAAAAATATATTTTAAATGCAAGCAAATATGTTTAGTTTTGTGCATAAATTAAACTTAGTTTATCGTATCGAAGACCACCTGTGTTGAACTGTTTTGTTTTCGTTTCAATGTTTTCAATTTTTCATGATTTAGCTTGTCAATAATGTTTATAATAAGTAGTTTTCAACTTATCATACCTTCCCAGTAGTTTTAATGCCTCGAATAAGGCAGAAAAAGCATATAGTCCAAGCCAATAGCAACACAAGAACATTTTGCCATCGGGGTGCTCCGACATCATCTATACCAGAACTGATCCCCAGAATATACTTGCTGAAATTAAGTGATTATATTTCAAATTAAATCGCTCTTGTCCATCCGCAGTTTTCAACAAGAGAAATATATTTGATTATCAATTGATTAAAATAACGAAAAAGATCGGGGTTTTGTTTTCTTTATGCCAAACAGATTATTGAGTCTATAGTACATTGCCAAGGAAATGATGTATCTTAGATAATAAAGAGTATAATATTTATGCTCTTAATTGTCAAAATGGTCCCATCGGGCGAGTGGTCGGTGTTGCTGGCATTAAATAGCTTAATTCTCACGCTCTGGGTTCAAATCATGCCAGGGATTTTGGATTCTTTCCCCGCTACCTTAGGGAAGATCGGGTGATGCCTGTTTGTACGTGAACTAATGCACGATAGATATCCGAGGATAATATTCGCCAATAAAGCTGGAATGTCCCCGTATAACCTTAACAAAGTCAGTGTCATTTGAAACTCTGTCACAAAAATGTTCAAATGTTTTTTTGTCATCAATAGCAAAATTTGTTATACATACTTGTAATATTCTTCTGACGGAGAGATTCGTTTTCTACCAGTGGTTTCAGTAAACAGAGTTGTGTTCCACAGCCCAAGAAATTCCCCCGTGTTGTCGTAACAAGTACCATTCAAATATTTCACACTGCCCTCACAGTTGACTGATGGTAACTTTAATCTACAGTCTAACAAGAGACCAAACAAGACATAAATCTAATATAGTTAAACATTAAATGAGCCGCGTCATGACAAAACCAACATATTGGGTTTGCGACCAGCATGGATCCAGACCAGCCTGCGCCTCCGCGCAGTCTGGTCAGGATCCATACTGTTCGCTATCAGTTTCTCTACTTGTAATAGGGTTTGTAAGCGAACAGCATGGATCCTGATCAGACTGCGCGGATGCGCAGGCTGGTCTGGATCCATGCTGGTCGCAAACCAATTATGTTGGTTTTGTCATGGCGCGGCTCATTTATTTCTTCTCAAGCTTGTGCAGACTTTGATAACTTTTTTTTTATTTTGCATGTAAGGAACCAGCATATACACAGTATGTCAGTAAAAATAAAATCATAATAGTTAGTTCATTTCAGATGTTGTTAAATGATTTATAATAGAATAAGAATAACATGTTATGACGTCGAATCAAAAGAAATATATTCTTAATACAAAAGATAAAAGCTTGAATATTTTTATGAATTCATGTTAAAAGAACAACTTTTATTACATGTATTACTGGCAAGATATTTGCTCTACATACATTTTCACATTGTCCTTTGTATTAATTAGACTGTCAAATGAAATAAAACATATTAATCCTCTTGTCTGCTCTCTAAATACATTTTCATAAAAAATATTGAATGATAAACAAGTGATCATAGGTTCGAACCGACTGCAGTCGCGGCCATGTTGCCTCATATAATTATTGATTATCCTAAAAATAAATACTTGTAAATAGTTTTGAACTCAATCAATCTAAAATTAAAACGTAAATTTAAAACAAATCACATTTTATCACATTTTATCCCAAAAAAAAACATTGAGACAATAGAATACAATGATTGACAGAATTGTATTTTTCTTACCGGCTGTATTCCAATCATTATCACAATTCGACCATGGTAATGGGTGTTGAAACGATACGAAAAAGTAAAACATGCACCATGCTATAATCATATTATAGTACAGTGACGTCAATCCTGAACACAGGCACATAGCGATACCAATCCCTGTAAAATATAAGAGCCGCGTCACGACAAAACCAACATAATGGGTTTGCGACCAGCATGGATCCAGACCAGCCTGCGCATCCGCGCAGTCTGATCAGGATCCATGCTGTTCGCTTACCAACCCTATTACAAGTAGAGAAACTGACAGCGAACGGATGCGCAGGCTGGTCTGGATCCATGCTTGTCGCAAACCCATTACGTTTGTTTTGTCGTGACGCGGCTCAATTAACATCCAATAATCATCAACGTCTGTCCTAAACACAGGTATATGTTTTTACCAATCCCTGTGAATTATATCATAATACTTTGAAATCAGTCCTTAACACAGGCACATGGTGATAACAGTATAAATATACCTGTAAATAATATTATTCAATAATCATATTTATTTGACGTCAGTCCTAAAGACAGGCCAATGGCGATACCATTTCCTGTAAAAAGTATATTTTAATTATCATATTATTTGTGACGGTAGTAATGAATGTTCGTTCACATAGGCATGGATCTACTTATCCTAGGAAAATACATCTTTTAATAATCATATTTTTTACGTCAGTCCTGCTTGAACACAACCACATAGCGATGTCAATTCATGAAATAAAATCCTTTAATGATCAAATGACTGTGACGTCAGGCAATTAGTAATACCAGTTCTTGTAGATTCAGTGATGATAATAAAAGTTTAACTAAGAATACATGCGCGGAACCTTTTTTTGTGCATTGTGACAAACGAATTCGATTTAACGATTTTGCACCTAAAGTATTTGCATTTAGAACTCTGAGCATAAGAATAGAAATGCTGGTATACTCAGATTCATATTCTTAATTAGCGTAAGAAAAGGGGACAAGTATATATAAAATAATCATACCAGAAAACAATGGAGAAAATCCCCAACATGATGTTGGTCCGCAGCTGGTGAATTGTGCAAGACTTGTTTCCATGAAAAATAACGGTATCCCGACCACTGTCATAAATATCAAATATGGCACTAAAAAGGCACCACCTCCGTTTCTATAACATAAGTACGGGAATCGCCACAGGTTTCCGAGACCAACAGCATATCTGAAAAAATACATGTATTACCTAGAAAAACCAAGGTTATTTAGTAAGTTATTTTATTTAAAATTCAAGTAAATATCATCAAGTATGCGGCTTATAAATTCGATGGAACCAAACAAAAGAACCAAACAAAAGAATTCTAGTTTTATATTCTAGTGTAAACCATCCATTTCTTTCTACACTAGTCACAGACTCATCTGGCTTCATGACTGTGTATATATATGATATAACCATGTTAAATGTGAAAGAAAAAGAAAATCAAACCGTTGATCTTTCATTGACATTTAAATCTAGCTATAAAAGCAGACGACATATACTTACCCCAGCATTGACAGGATAAAGTCCAGTCTCCCGGTCCAATTCCCTCTTTCTGCATTTTCATCTACACCGAATATCTGCGACCTGTCTATGTTACTTGATCTAGATGTTTGAAAGGAATCTTCAGTCAGCGAAATGTCTGTACTTGCAATAGATTGCTGGAAAAGGTAACACACTATAGGCTTTGAACTAACATCTTTTTGTATGTTTGCGAGTGACTGGATGATTTACACATTGAATAAGGACAAACAATTGGGTCTGATTTGATCTACAACCAAGTTATATTATTCAATTTAAGTAAAATAAAACAAACACATTGAATAAATAAGCTTGTAACTATTTTGTGTATTTACTTTAAACAGGTTACAGTTGAATTTCCCTTGGTCCTAGACCGTGTCATTATTGATACTACAAAAGGTGCTAATTTAAGACACGTGAAAAAATCCAGATTTTATGCTTCCTGAAGACATGTGAAACAAATCCACACTTGATACTTAAATTGTCTACACGAACATGTGTATAATGTTTGTGCTGCCAGCAGACGGGTGAAATTGAAATAAAATAAATGATATTTTTCCATTAGATTAATGCCCCGAAGAATGACATTCTTTAGTCTAAATGGTTCGATGTCCAGTACCTGAAAATACATAGGCCTTCATGAATAATAATAATAATTATACCGGAGATTTACTGTTGTTGTCCTTTTTAGGAGTGTTCACCACGTACACGCCTGGTTCAACACTGCTGATGAAAAACTTGGGAGACTCTAGAGGTGGTGGTTCTGAGTTTGGGACTCCCAGATGAGTCTGCACGGTAGGGGGAGGTTTTGCCTTAAATATAAAAAAACACTAATAAATGATTGGCTATAGAACAGAAAAATACATTTAAAAGTCCCATGTGGAATAAACTTATAACTTTATTGTCATATTGACAAGGGTCTTAATTAAATAAAGGGCCATAAAATGCTTAAATGGTCAAAAAATGTCCTTGTCATATATGCAAAGTAAATACTCTTTAGCATAATGTATATAAACATAGCATGATTACCTCCCTTTATAAGGAAAAAAGAAATATATGTACTAAAAATAAACAATAATTACATATTCTATTTCTTTCGCTATTATATTCAAATATAAAAATTTCAATGTCTAAGATTTACCCGCCTAACCCAACTTTCGGTTTAACTGTGTCAGTAATTTTCAGTTTATTTTCAGTTTAAAAAATTGTTTTGGTACACGGTTTAAGGGTAATTTTATACTGCAAATAGTTTCTAGATTAAGTCATCCCGCTGTTTACAAGAAAAATGTCCCAAAGCTAAGTCAAAGCAACCCTTAAACGTTATACCATATCTGTATTAAAAATAAAAAAACGATTGGTAATAAATATGTTTTAAAGAAGAAAAAAAAAAGAGAAAGATTAAAAAACTTACCCCTCCAGCACCAGTCATATTTTCATGTTACTATTCCGGGTCACAAACCGTTCCGATCTGTTGATCAAAATTACACATCTTCAATATTTTTAACCATGACTTAGTCATTTATATACAAATGTGATGCGTAAAATAGCATTAAATTCTTAATCAATTTATTGATAAAGATAAACAAATGTAATAAAGATGAGGCAAATTTTTAAAGGTGCCGAAAATTAAACATCGAAAAAGCATTTAAAAATGTAAAATAGTATAATAAAAACACACGAAAACATATGTTATACCTGATTTATTTCGGGTTTATGTTCGTTTACCTTCGCTCTATTTCTACATGTATTATGCTGAATTGTGTCGTTTACAAAAATAGATTGTTGCAATACTTGTAAAATAGTTATCCAAAAGACAATTAAAGGCTAAAACGTGACAAAAGTTAACCTAACTAACGTTACATTTTTACCTTAAAGTTAGTATGATAAACTAATACAAACAAAAACGCCATCCGACATGGACATAAAGAAATCGAAAAACACTAGCCATTGTTATTTCTTTTCAACAACGAAGTTTTCACAAGTTTCTCTTTTTCTGTTATTAAGTAGATATGGTAATCAATAGAGGCATTTACCTACCGCCTGTCGTAAGTAGGCTATATATAGCTGACTTGTAAATGCGTCGATTAAGAAATGTATTTAACTAGACAGATAGATACTTTTATTATAAACTTATGAATGAAATATTGAGAAAAATGATGGAATAAATGCGTAATTTCATTTTCAATATTTTCACTGTAAAAATTATTTTTTCACTGTAGTGAAACATATTTTCCGTATTTTCACTGGTGTCTTGCCGGACTACTTTCTTCTAAATTCAGTCAATGCACAAAATTTAAGGGAAAGTATTTCAAGTTGTTATGTCTAAAATGAGAAAAAACATATAAAACAAACAGAAAATTCAAGTTTTTGTCATATAATATAGAATTTATTTGCATATTGTGATATGAAAATTATCATATTTCATACCAATAGATGAAAATAAAGCCTGTATTTATATAAAAAACTTGAATATCCTGAATTCACCAGTGCATCAATATATGAAAGTAAAGGATTTAACAATGTTTCTTGGATTTCAATGCAAGTTCTATTGTAAGTATATTTCAGAATTACACTAGAATGTCAGGTCCCAACAATAATTTGAATGTGCATGCCCACACCAAGCTGAAATAAATCTTTTACACTCAGAGTTGTTGTCCGCAAACAATGTCTTCAACTCTATTTATGTGATTCCGTTTCGTTCCCCAAAGTATAAATATTCCCTAGTGTAATGATATTTAAAGTTTTATGAATCATGCACTTAGGGTAAAAATGCCTCCACCTTGGAGGTCATAGAGTATCATAAGGGTAATTAAGATAAAACATTTTCAAAGGAGTTTCTTGATTGGGTTTCTAGCCTAATTGAAAGATTATTTTTGAATACTCAGGCAAATTTACATTCGGGCGTATATTGTCTCACTTTTGTGGTTCTCTTGTTTCAAAATTATTTTAGATGTGTGAAGTTGGCGGCCTAGCGACCCAGCGGCCTGGCGGCCTAGCGGCCTGTTGGTCATTTTCATTGTTAATTGATATTTTCTGTAATACCGATAGCAAAATGTTATTACATTAAATAATAATAGTACTTTTAAACCTAAGTTGTTGGCATGATTTTTTGTTATTTCTTATTTTTTTATTAGTTAAAATGTTTATTTTGAAGACATTTTAAAGCGGCAAGTTTGCTCCATGTTTATGATTGGGTGTAGTGTCGGGATAAAAAGATAAATAATTTTGTTGACCATACTTTTTGAAGACATTTTTCTTTTTCTTTTTAAGTTTACTTTTTAAAGAATTGAATGTAGAAGAAATCAGAAATATATTAAACATCTTTTGCAAAACTTTTATCTAAGGGAAGTGGTGGTCTAGTGGTTAAGGTGTCTGCCTCTCAAGCCAAGAATCGTGGATTCGAGCCCGACTCGGGTCACGATCATGATGCATCATATAACATCAGTCCTGGTTAGTTCCAGGAAGCGGACTCGAAAATGATTAATATAAGGTGCAAGAACTTGTTTACGATTAAACTGAAAACTTTCATGAAATAAATATTTTTTCACAATTAATTCTTGTATTTTACTATGAATGTTTTGAATCTGTTTTTATTTTCACAAGACTGAACCTTCATGGCGGACGAGAAATATAATCGATGTTAAACATTTTATTCGGAATAACACGTGTATGGACACTAAAGTGACATTTACCATAGCACTTGTCTGGCCACTAGATGGGGGAGAGGTGTAG